GGGGGGGGGGGGGGGGGGGGGGGGGGGGGGGGGGGGGGGGGGGGGGGGTCCAAAATTAAGCAGGCTAGTCAACTCTCCCGGTTTCATCCTTCTCAACACTGTGCCCAGGCTGTTCTCCAGTCCTGAGACTTTCGTATTCGCCAAAGTCCATACGAAGGTATTGGGCGACGGCCAATATAACGGAGGAGGCAGAAATAGGAGCAGCCAGGAGGGAAAAACGTAGCAATTGTAACTGCCCTCCGCCCCCTCCCGTCAACAGGAATCCCCTCATAACCGATTCAGCCCCCCAAATATGGGATCTCCCGATCTGGCGATGGGAAGAGTCGGCAACCTGACGATCAAGTCTGGATGTGAAGCAATTCTCTTGTCCGGGATGAGGTGTCACTCTTAGGGTTTGTCATCGCTGTACCCCCTCACCATATATGACGATTGCGTTTGCTAAATGTCTCTAGAGCACCGTTGTAAACTGCCGCAGAAGGGGGGTTAAAAGTCAATCGGAAGACACTGTTAACTCCCCTCAAGCCATTTCTACCTTGGTTTGCGGCCTCCAGCTGAACGATATCGCGAATCCTCTCACGGCTCACCACAACGTCGGCGACTTGCATCGCGAATGCACCTTAAGAATGCATTCGCATTCCAAAGAAGTTATTTTGTGGTTGGAGCAAAATTGCTGTCGTAAATCGCAAGGATTCTGAGGTGGCTTGGTTCTCCAATGTGAGCCTGGACGGCCTCATCGTACAATAACCGTCTTCGTTCCAACATGGCTGCTTCATGCAACAGAGTGTCGCGCTATCCCAAAAATGATCGCTGATGAGTTCGGAGCCTAAGAGAGAGAAATGATGGAATAGGAAACGAAAAAAGTAGACTTGGGTCCACTGGGAATTAGGCCTACTCGTGACATAGGCCTAGGCCTTGACTAAAGCTAACGTTAGTTGTCTCAACAGCATAAACTCATTGAGTGTATGTCAGAGTTTTTGCTGAGGCGGCAGGATGGATTTGCACTTTTATGAAGTTATGGACTTCAGAAGCAGTAAAGCCTAGACCTAATGACAGTAAAATTTAGGACTTGTATTTAATTCGCCCCATAGGCATGGTCACAGACGCTAAAGCTAGAACGTCATGGTTTGAGGTGCACTCTGGCGAATTTATCTCACCATTAGTGTTACTTCATGGGTTGCAATTTCACAGTGTCCATATTCGTAATCCATGTTCCATATAATAGAGCTGCATGAGTATTTTCATGTGCCAATACCTTTGTATAATTGCCAAAATAGGAATTTCATTTCTGCTAGGATGCCATTGGCAAAATAATGCAAATATCCTTTCTTAAATACAGAATTGCCTAGTCTTTTGTGTGGTGAAAACTGCATCTTGATCAGATCTAGCATTGAGACGTTATTAACAGTCAAAAGGTGTGCAGGACCTTTGACATACCCTGTATATGTCATATTTAGGATGGAAAGTATCACTCACTTTTTAGTAATTCTTTGAATTTATTTTGATGAATTTCTGACTTAGGTATTTTCCAACTTATATTCCCATTTAATTAAGAATAATGGACATTTTAAATTTTATAGCAATTGACCTAGGGCTTTACCATACATGTAACTCATAGTTGTCAGTCTTCCCATAGATTGAAATAACTTTTAGGTTAAGTTAGACCTAAGTTGGCATACTCTTGCAATAGGTGAAATAGGTCATGCGATTATTCTGGCCATTGTATGTTGACAGATGGGAGATATATCATTTGAACAGTCTCCTCTTCAAGTGACGCTTAAAGCTTTACGGAATCTCAGGTCAACTGTCTCAGATGTATTTACACATCTTGGATCTGGCCTTAGCAGAGTGCATGGAGATGAAACCCAAGAGAAGAACTTTTTGCAAGACCTGCAGCAAATACTGCAAAAGGTTGAAGTACGACTCAGGTGAGTTCATCATCAGGAAAGGATGACATCAGTGTCAGGCTTGTGTATGCAGTTTTTGGCCTATGCTATGGTTATTTATGGTTACATTGTTTTGTGGTTGGTCTCTGGAGTGGAAGGTTTATTAGTTGTCTCTTGAGGCCTGAAGAGTCTCTTAGTTACAAGTCTCAAAGTAAAGGTAATGGCAATGATAGGCATACAGGATATCTTCATAATTCTTTCATGAAGTGAGAAGTTTCACATATTTCCTCTTCAGAGTGAGTGATTCTGTTGTGAGGGATATGCAATAATTAGCTCATACATGAAATCATCTTCTGTGTGCAGGGACTTGGAGGTAGCAGCTAATAATCTGAGTCCACCAGCATCAGGGTACTTACATCTTGGAAGCTCAGGATATCTTGGACAAGACCCAGCCCATGAGAAAACTCTGCTGTTCAATCAACTTGTACAATCCTATGGTTGGACTGACAAGGTCAGTCTCCATGTGAGCCTTTTAGGCTGCCACTGTTAGTGTTTTATGATGGTACTGGTACTGGTATAATACCATATTAGCAAGTTTTATTTGTTATCAAGCCATGTCCTCTTTTCCAGTCATTGTGTTATGGTTAAACACAGATTCATGGTAACTTAATATCATCCAATATATTTTTTGCATCCTTTCCTTCTTCCTTTAAGGCAAAAATCCATATCTCAAACTTGATGATTATTTTGTACAGAAAATGTGTTTTGCCCAGATATGTTTAACCCTGTAATTACCATTCTGGGTTGAATGGATCCTGATTCTTCATGAATTTTCATGAAGACATATGATAGTAATTAGGCAAAGTATTTTGAAGAGGTTCTTTGGGAAGGAAGGGATGAAACAGAGTTAAACATATGACCATCTGGGTTGGTAGTGACAGGGTCAATAAATGAATAAGCCTCATATGGATCATAGACTTTATATATGCACTCATATATGTAGTTTTAGATATCAATACATGGGAAAAATATAAATATATTTGACACAGACACATGCCATGTTCCTTCTGTATGGGTGGGAAAGGTAGAAATAATGAAGGAAAATGCATATTCAGAGTTATGAAAAACCTGGGAAAGTCAGGGAAGCCAATTCTTAAAGCCCCAATACACGAGACAAGTTTTTGCTAGCAAGTCCTTGCTTACAAGGAGCAAGTGAGGGTGTACATGAAGCAAGTAGACTAGCAAGGACTTGCCTCGTGTATTACTATGGAAGGTTTTTTGGAATTGTGAGTAGGAGATTTGAAAACAATCAGGTACTATAGACAGCTTTTTTATTGAAGAAAGTAAATGGGTAGGGGTCAATACTAGCTCATCTTTTTCTGGAATCACATTTTCTATTTACTTTTGGGGGGCACTTCCTGGTCTTGCTCTCACATTGACTTCTTTAAAAATTGTACTATAAGTTGTAGAAATATCACCTATTGTTAGAATGCAAGAAAGCAATAAGAAAACATCTGTTTTAAAAAATAGAAGCATAGGTTTGCTGACAATATAATGTTAATGCAATTGGTAATTATGTTTATGCAGTGCGGGACATTATAAATGTTCCTTTTCGTATTGTAGCTCCATGATTATGCTGGCCTCTGCAGCACTCTGCTCACACAGAATTCCTTGAAAAGGTCAAATGTTGGGGCAACTCTCACTGCAAAGAAGAGGAGAACCTATTCAACAAGCCACAATGTCTCAGCACAGTAAGAGGATGTTTATAATATAGTATGGATCCTGGGGTTTGATTGAGAGAGTGCAACTCTTGATTATGATCTTTAATGTAGCATGCATTCTTGCTTCAAATCATCCTGTTTCATAATTTTTCAAGCTCACCAAAATGCACAATGCAAGTTAGAAATTACTGTTTTCTTGATACTACATGCTCATTATGAGAAAAAATCTGTCAGCTATGACATTGAAATGAAAAATTATGGTATCAACAAAATTTCGTTAATATACAAAGGACAGTGGATGCAGTGATTGCGAGCATTGACCGGCAGTTTGCTGATATGCAGCTGAGCAAATCAAGACCCTATGGGTCTAATCTTGTAATGCAGGTAAATTATTCCCTCTCCTTGCTATGTTATGATATTTTAATATAGAAGTTGCTCATCTCATGATTTAATATTCATGTTTTGAAAAACTAGATCACCTTGAGCCGAGTTTTGAAGGCAATCGTGATCTTCAAGGGGTTGATGATCGAATGGGTTGTGGTCAGAGGACTCGAGGAGCCAACGGTTGATGAGGATGGTCTTCTTGATCCATGGACACCATCATGTCACTTGGTTTTTCGCAAAGTCACAGACAATGCCAATGCTGCCATGCTTCATTATTTCTCTCCTATGATGCCTGAGCTTGCTGTGAAGTCATTTATGGTGAGTTCTTTAAGAAGGAATGGAAAGAACATGTTATGACCAAATTTAATGTGAAATATTAACCCTTTAGAGTCTGAGTATTTTGGATAAGTCAGTGCCGTCATCCAAGTTTTTTCCATCCCTCATCATGAGGCCAAGATGAGATAACTCAAACATGGACCCTAAAGGGTTTATTTTACTTTTTTTGCCATACATTTTTTACATAAACCTGGCTATGCCTTCTAAAAATAAAAAATGGCATCTTGGAACTTGAAACATTGTAGTAGACCCATGAAAGAGTGTAGTTTCAGAAATGTTTGTACCTTTTTCATGTTTATTCATTATGGTTTTTTTTTTTTCTTGCAGACCTGGTTCCATAGCTATGTGAAGCTCTTCTCAGATGTGTGCAAGAAGTGTCAGCGACACTTACACCACAACATGCCTCCAACATGGAGAGACTTCAGAGTACTTGATCCATACCATGAGGATTGCAAGCCTCTATTGTGATATCCAAACATAGTCTGATTGGAGAGTATTCCACAGAAAGGGTGATGTACTCAGAGTAAGACCATGATAAATTGTCATGCAGTGACTTGATTCCAATCTTGTTGGAGTTCAGCTTGTGATTCATCACCACCCTCAGTTTTGTGCCTGGCAGCTGAAAGTTTCTTTCCAGGAAGTGAACCTTATGCCTCAAGGAAGTAAAGGTGCATTAGACAGCTGGTTCAAGGAAGGATAGCTTGGCGTCATGGTGTCATCTACTGAAACTGGTTTCACCAGTGTTTTGTTTTGCTTCCTTTTTCTCTGTTATATTAGAGTGATGCAACTTGGAGCCTTGGATAGGCCTACCCTACCCTAGGAAACAAATTGTCACTGATTGGTCTCAAGTAGCACTAGTGTGCTCATATGATTGAAATGCACCATTCCAATTTAAAAATGACTAGAGGAGAATCTGCAGGTGGAATGGACTCTTCTGTCTTCCTCTCATCCTGTCAAGACTCCGGTAAAAGAGTCTTCATGTATATTAAGTCAAAGGAGACAGACAGCTCCCAGTATTATGGAGTTTGATCATGTCATGGAATCTGAATATATCCACTTAAGAAGCTTGGGAAAGCACTGTTTCTTTTTGGAATGGGCTCCTATCCCATCCCCCAAGTTCCCATATATCATCATGATGAATCTACAAGACCAACCACTCCATGGCTAGATTACTTCATTGAATGAACTGAACCATTTTCATTGAACCATTGTCTAGTGTTCCATTCACTGGATTTTTCAAATTGTTCAGCTACTGTGCACACTTATTGATGCTTTAATTCCTTCCTATTGTAAAGTTTTTGAGAGAATGAGGAGTATTCACACATACTGTGCCAAGCCAACTTGCATAATTAGCATAGATCCTATTGTGTTGCAAACTCTTGTCCAATGCTTATTATTCCTTAAATAATGGGCAAAGTCAATGTGGAAAATACTGCATTACAATCTTTTAAAATAGTTTCCAGGAAGTTTATGAATGACATATTTCTAACTTTCTTGCTTAAGTGGCTTATTGTGTGATATTCCTTGCATGTTTTTGAGTTGTTCTATCTGTATGTATTTCTTCTATGACTTTCATGGCAATATGCAACAAATATATGTTTGGGAAGGAAAGAGAAGTGTTATTTTATTTTTAATAGAAACTATTTTGAATTCATTAGGTCCTGCTCCTTCTGAGCTGAAATGCTCAAAGTCTGCCATTGATGCAATTTACTGGCTGCTGAAAATTTCAGTTCTTGGTGCATAATTCCTAAATCTTAATGGAAAGGAATGGATATGAAATTCATGATATTAAGGTGAATACAGGAAGCAGAACCCTTCAGACCTGACCTCATCCTGAACCATGTGGCTCTGGCCAAGAGTGAAATGATCAGAAAGAGTGAAATATGAAGTGAGTTAAATGTACAGGGGGGGGGGGGGGGGCTGCTTGGGGTTAGGTACACTTAAAGAAAGGCTGGATGGAATTATGGGCAGAGGACTTAATGCAGGTTTTGGTATCAGAGCATTCACAACTGTTTTTCATAGAATTTTCAACACCTGTAGGAGTGGTGTGGGGGGCATAAATGAAACAGTGCAGACTCTTGTACCTGGTGACTTGTATCATGTGAATCCTGCTATAACTTTGTAATGCCTGTTGGTCACATTTATCATCAATTTTTACTTTTAATAGAGGTAGCAATCACTTCAATGACTTGCACACATCAAGGATTGTGTAGACTGATTCAGTTGTAGAAAGGATAGACCAAGGTCTACTCGCTATGACAAAGGTTTGTGTTTCTTGTGTGTGTGTGGGTAAGCATTGATGAACATTCCCAGTGCATCATAGATGTGGGTCATCATGCACAAGGAAGGTGGGAGCAATGGTTCAGATTAGAGCTATTGGCACATGGCATGTCATGTTTTTCACGAGAGGTAATATGAAGTGGAGTGAATATGCATAGGGGTCATAACAGTGAAGCAAATGTCAGGGTAGTTGAGGGGCATTAACCCAGGTAGAGTGATATCGAAATATTGGACAAAAGCCATTTTTCAGACAGGAATTTAACCCTGGAATTGCCAACCATTGATAAAATCGATGTTGACAGCTCTAGGGTTAATATTTTACATTGATTAAAAATGGAATTTGCTTTTATAATTCTTTAAATGACCAGTTCATATCCTGTACATGAATCAAATAAATAATTTGAGAATTTTTGACAGAACCCTGCAGGGATGGGTCAACTTGGACAGGAATTTCTCAACAAGCTCTAAGATTCTATTCCCTTGCCTTGAGCATGGAAGTTGTCAAAACAAATGCTTGAAGCTTGATCAAAAGGAATTACTCATACCTAGAGCAGTACAGCATTGTTTATTCAGTACTGTCTTGAGATGAACAGGTAACAAATTGAGACATTCCTCACAATTTATTAAACCACAATTTGTAGTTATCACAGTAAACCTTGTCCTCAGCATAACAGTTCTTATAGGCTATCCCATCTTTGGTGGCAAACTCAGTCTTTCTTTGACCAGCTCATATGCTCTACAATCAATCAGGCTCTTTGCTTGAAGGTAGGATGGAGCAAGCACTGTCATCCTGAAGAACTTCTGGTCCTGGTGTCTGCATGAACACTTCCCTATTTTATACTTCTTAGGCAGAAGTTGATTCATTGGACCCTTTCTCATTTTGAAAAGAATGCCCATTAAAAGAAGACTCCTAATTGGCAAGATATGCAATCAAAGGGTTATTGCAAAAAAATATGTACCATGACCTTTTCCCACAATACCACCTGAAACAGTGCATAACAAGAAAGAACCATGAACCTCGATTCCATTTCTCAGGTGAAATATTGAACAGTGGGTGCTTCCATGATGAGGAATGAGAAGATCAAAGAGAAACAGTTGAGAACAATAGGACTCTCCTTTCAACACCCAGTTCTTTACCAATAATCTGTAGCGTGGTTCAATGTTAGTAATTGAAAACATCTAGCATTGCACCATTACAATAATCTCATAGGCTTTCAAAATATTTTACACAAATTTACAAATAAATTTCCTCCAAAACTACATGGAATATGGACCTTTGCAATATACATATATGTACTGATAGCACTGCAATTTTGGTATTTTATTAGGATTCCTATAACGGAATGATTAGTGCCTCTCAAAATGAACAAAACAAACCAGATAAATAGATTCACATGGGGAATGAAAAGCGAGGCTATGAAGTGTCACATGAAGGGCAGTCTTCTGAAATGCTCTTAGCAAAATTGTCATTACTGTTCAATTCTTGAAATGTTTCTCAGCAGAGAGCATGGGATAACTCTTGAATGACAGACTGCTCTCACAGAGCAAAGGTTTGGGAAAGGGAAAATCCTGAAAGTCAATGTTGAATGGGACTCATGATTAGAAACAACATCATGAGAAAGCACCAGAGACAAAAGCATGGATGATTGGAGGTATGGTTTCATTGAACCCCGAGAGTGTCAGAACTCCTGGACTTTCAGCTGCCACTGAGGTCTTTGAAATGGAAAAGCCACACGTTACAACCCTGTGAGAAATGTACCATCATTATAGATCAGCAAGTATTTAAATATAAAGGCCTTGAATCGAGAAAAGGATGTAATCAGGCTCACTTCAACTCAGATTTGAAATGGGACTTGAACTGAGAGAGGCAGGACCGCAGGGGCTCAACTTCACTGACTCGAACAAATTCATTTGACCTCCTCGTGATGAAAATGATGGCATCAGCTGGGAAGTTGTTGTGGATAGACCACTGGATACTTTGTGTGAACCCCACCAATCCACCTTTGCAACGCTGTAATAATAACTCAGCAATTAATTTGACCATTTCAGGGTAGAGTATTCCCATTGAAACTGCCATTTTTCTTACATCAGTAAGCTTGGCAAGGAAAGCCTTCATGGTAGAAGTGGGCTCAGCATCAAATGCAGTGACATTTGCTGAGCCACCAGCCTTGTCTTCACGGATGAGAATTTTCACATCACCAGTTGCCTCTGCCTTCAAAAGACTCAATGCAATGACAGCAGCTGCCTCAATAACAGTGACAATGGGTCTCACATGACACTTTGTTGAAACCATCTCTGGTGTTGTCTCCAGCACAACTAACCACTTTTTTCCTGTGCGTGGCAATGCCTAGAATTCCAAACATAAACAAATCTTATGATGATGTAACTTATTGATGCAATTACTGACAGATACAGAAGACACTTTCTAACCTGAAATGAGTTCTTCAACAAGTTATTCAGAGCTTCAACAACTTTCTTGTTAGGCTTGGGAGGAGCTTTTGGAGGGCGTCTGATCATTCCTGATGGAGCATGTCTTCGTTGTGCTCGGTCATGGAGAAGCTTCTGGACGAGTGATGGGTTCTCATATTCCTAGAGAAGGAAAAAGTCATTCCTACCAGAAGTGCTAGGTAAGCCGGTGTATGGAGGCTATTCAATGAGTAGTGTTTATGACAATAAAAAGAAAACACAATAAAAACTGAAAAACCACAAAGTAATGTTGTACTGAAACTTATTACTCATTGTAATCACCCTCAGCTACAACTTTCTCCCACCATTTTGGTAATCCCAACTAGGATCAGATCCTAGTTGGGATTACCAAGACCCAGATGCCAAGATGCAGATCCTAGAGTTAAAGGGTTAACCATCATCATGCCATTGGGAAGAGCAGGTCAATGATTGAATTTTGAAAAAGGTGATGTCCATCAACTTTATTGCAAAGATGCTAAAATTGCTTTTGAGGTCAGGGTGAACTTCACTCAATGCTGCAGCATTTTAATTCTGGTGCACCAGAACCATTTATATGAACTATCTGGAGGTTTGATGAACATAAATTCAACCTTATCTGTTTCTGTTTAGAAGTCAGAAGATGTGAAACCCATACTGCAGCCAACTCCCCCCCCCCAATCTTGTATTAAAAATTGTTGAGCAGTACTATGTGATAGGGAAAGTTTTTCAGTTGTCTACACACAAGAGATTTATTTTTCCTCATTCAATACTTCTTAGATGCACTTATCCATATTTTCTGTTAGGTCATAGGATTGCATTAAATATGCTTACCTAGCTACAAATTCTGTTACAAAGTAGGCAACATAGCATGTAAAATGTCATTTCATAAATGTCTTGATATCTTCTTCTTTTATAAATATGGAGAGGTACAAGTACATCCATATCCAAAACAGGAGAGAATGAATTGAAGCTAGCAAAGCTACCCCATCATAGAGAATGCTTTGATGGCCTCTGTTTAAGATTGATATGCTGTTTCAAATGCTGTCTGTTCCTGCTCCTCAGCCATATTTGTTAACAAATGCAAAAATAATAAACACCACTTATTGTACAACCTTCATATAAATAAAGAGCTTTCTTTAACTCTTTTGATGATTAGTCAGCATACCTTCAGCACCAAAAACACCTTTGCAGGGTGGACAGGAGAATCTTTCAGGCCATCTGGATCACTGAGCTTCTGCTGGAGCTTTGAGACAAGTAATGGGTGACTTTTCTTGAGCAAACCAGCCAAGGACAGGCGTTTCACACAATTCAGGGCCTCTAATATTAACATCCGTGGAATCAAGACCTCCCAGATCTAATAAAGGGAAAAAACTCTGTTTTTGAATTAGGGTTATTAGAGTTTATAATATGAAACCAGTTGTGTCAAGTTTCACACAACCTCTGGAGATTTGTGGAATCGGGTTGGCACATGATCAAGGCTCAAGTTAGACTTCTCCAGGAGTGACCGAACTTCTTCTCCTTCTGCTGACTTAGAATGCCCCTCTTCTCCTACAGTAGATACACAATGCTTCACAGCATCCACATCATGTAGGTATGAGAGCAAGTCCTTCAGCTCTTCAGGTTCTCCTTCAGTCAGTTGCTTTTCGGCTTCAGGTAACCCCCGCATCACGTAACAGAACAGCAGCTTTTGTTCTGTCATCACAAAAGGAGATCTATCACTCATTCAGTAATGTTGTACAAAAGGGAAAAATAAAATTAGTTGCTGTTCACTAGAATTTTCCATTTAAAATAAACCTCTAGAAATTCAATCAATCACGGTGATGACTGTAATTATTACTGCATATGCTGATATGTTACAAATACTTCACCTGTGGTTTTAGGTTTCATGTGGATGAGCTTCAGAATGTCCTTGTGCGTCCAGTTTCCTCCTGGGTGTTTTGTCACCTCACAGGCTAAAGCTAGAGGCTCATGACTTGTATACCATTCACAAATTGCACGTCTGAATCCTCTTCCCCATCCAGTGCATGGCTGATTGAGGGTTTCACTGGAATAGAAAGTTAAATATTTAAAATCACAGACAATATAAATACAATATAAAATTTCATACGTTATCCAATGTATAGTACACAAAAAAAGCTTAAAAAAGTCAGCCCAGGAGTTTCAACCTAAAATAAAATTTGGTTTCCCTTGTGTTCATAGACTTTTTCCAGCTAGAAGTGTTATGAATTTGTTTCATTACAATTTCAACTCCCTAGTTTTGAGTGCAGCAGTTGGTTGACTCTGCATCATCTTTTTGCAATAGAGTGATTTATTGGATATGGAAATTCACACCATTGACATATACTTTTGAGATTTTACTGCTTTGCTAAATTCATCAGTAGTGAAAAGGAACACATCATCAATATGTATATTAGACTCCACCTAGAGGCAGAAAATGATGTGACAAGTTCTGACACCAGGATTTTTGGGGTCAGTAGGGTTATTTCACATACATGGTCTCACTTTTAAAATTTACATTTGCACACACATATTCACTCCATATTAAGCACTTTCTACCTCTATCAAGATATCTAAGGGAGCAGATACAGTTTGTGATACATTCAAAAGTCATTATGCACATGGTTTTCAATTGTGGCCACTTCTATCTCTGAATTCATATGAAAGTATACACTCTTGAGAGCCTGCAGTACATCCAGAGCATCAATATATGAGGAAAGTTTCAAGTCAGGACACAAGAGATTTAAGATCCAATATTGGTGGATGTAGCTGGTGTGTTATTTTGGGAAATATACCCTCTCATTCAGGGCCAAGAACCTGTTTAACAATTTTTAATTCAATATGAAAGCTTGCAAAGACATTCTGACTTTGATTCATTAGCTACACATTCCAAATACCTGACAACCATGCATTCTCCTGTCAATTTACAAAAATCCTGAATGCTTCTGATGAATCATGAAATATCCTCTGTGAGCTGTCACACTAGTCCATGAAAGTGCAATCTTACAGGACCACAGCAATAGATCCATTGCAGCTTAATCACACAAATGAATTAAATGAATTTGAATTAAGTAACAACTATAATAATGGCTAGACATACTGTTACTACTTGGCCACACAAGTTTATCTGCAGGGTTGACACATTTTGGAAATAAATGAAATTGTAAAATAGATATCCATATCCATTCTCTCTTCCCTTCTGCAGTAGCTAGTAACATACTAAGACTTCTAGCAAGAGCATGAGAAAAAACATGTTAATTGGAATTGAGGAGCAGATCAATGTTCTTACCTGCAATGCATGAGCATGAATAATTCCTTGGAAGTTCTACAAACTTGATGAACTAGTTTATATGCCTCCTGACGAACTTTGATGTCAGATGCCTTCATAGACTTAGCCAATGCTACAATGACACATATGGGATGTGGGCTAGAACCATTCTCAAAAATTTTCTTGAACTCCTCAGTCAAAGCTTTCTCGCCTCCACTTGTGGCACACTGCTCAATAGCATCAGCAAGCTTTTCCTGATTGATTTGCTGGATGGATGGCTCATTGCAAAAAAACCATGGATTGTAGTTCAAGCTGTCACCACCAATATGTAGGAAACGACGAAGGCTTTGAACAGCCAAATTGTTGGCCTCAGTCATTGTCCTCTTTCAATAAATTTCCCATGCAAACCTAATCTGAATGAGACAATAAAACAGTGAAAAACCCAAATGCTGACTTTTGGCATCAGACCTACATAGCCTACAGACAAAAATGCCTACTATTGACCTATGAAATAAATGTGGCTGTCTCCCTGATAGGCTACCAGGAATAAATAATACTTCCCTTTCTTTCACAGAGGGTCAACTGTTTGCCCATACATTTATGTTGTCTTCCCATATCCCCTCTTCCATTGTGTCCATCCTGTCTAATTACAAACAATAATCCCATTTCTCCAAATGCTCTACCCTCAAAGTATCTTGTAACCTAATAATGCTCCATAACTTCCTATCTTCTTCATCATGACTAACAGCTTCCCATAAAATAAAAAAAAGTTGCAAAGAGGTGAGATTTGATCCTAAACCCCAGGAGTACTTGTCCACTGTGATATCCATTAGGCTACTACTAAAATACAAAGAATAATGATACAGGTGAGACAGTCTTAACAGATCCCACTACCAGATGTAGGAAGTAGGGCAGTTGTTTTATATTTATGCTTGTACTATGTATCTACATAGATCAGTCCAATGTCAAGGAATTAATCAATTTAAATGAATTCCTCAGAAGAGCAAGTTGCTTAAACCATTTATAAGAATAACCCACTTCACTTGCTTCAGGAAAGACTCCTTCTTTCAGCTTAGACCTAAGTCTTTATGCAGTCTTGTTAATCATGAGTGCTAACATTTTGCTGATCCATGTTCATAAGTTCTGATGTTCTTTCCATGCCATAGGTGGAAATTCTCCTCTTTCAGAAAGGAGAATTTTACATTTATGGCATCTTCATCTCCTTTTTAAGAATTGATTTCTTCATGCATAGCCAGAGAGACTGACCCACTTCATAAGAGCACATAAATGCTCTGAAGGTGAATGTGGAGGGGTGACTGGCTGTAATGATATCTACAATGAAGGATATTTATTAAAACCACATACACCCTGACTGCTTCTAAATGGATATAGAATTCTGTGGCACAGTTATCCTTTTACACTGTGCACTCGCCTGCTGTACCAAGCAAAAAAAAAAACTGCCTCATATGTCTGGCCCATTAAAAAAGACTAGATACCCACCATCATTGCATGGAATCTCCATACAACAGGTACACATTCAGACTATCATGACAGACTATCAAGCTCACTTTGGATAAGTGCATGACAGTGAAGGTAAGGCTATTCCCATAAATTAACTCATTTACCACCTAGATTAAGGGAGAGATGTAAGTAACCTCATGACATGTTAAAAGACAGTCACATTTTCAAGGTTGCTGGATTGCTGTTACCCCTTTCACATATCTCCTCTGCCTAAATTTTATTAAAGAGAGAAAAAAAAAGGGTCATCTACATCCTCACACACTCCAACAAATGTTTCATCATTTGAGTTCAGTTCCAAGGAACTAGGGGCAATATGCACTAGCAACAGAGAGGAGCAAACCAGAAACTGAGCTCTTGGTATTTTACACATCTCTGACAAGCCTTCTCTTCCCAAGGGAGAATTCACAAACTGCCATTTGGCCCCTAAGTCACATAACTCTTCCCATCACCCATTTGTCAGGAAGTCAAGCCAAAAGTTTAAAGGTCCAGCATCTTATTGTCCAGAGAAAATAGTTTTCCCCCAATACATACATACATACACTATATCATTTTTTGGAGTGCAGAATGAGATTTGTGGAATGTTTGATTTTGCAACATGAAGTTGTGTCTAGGCTCTCTATTTAAAAGGTGAAAATTCTATAACCATAAGTTTTCAAAATTGCATATTTGCCCTTTTGTAATATCCTCAATGATATAGTCTGCACTCTTATACCAGAGCAGAATGGGATACTAAGAATTTTACAAATTTTCAATATGGAGTGTCATTTTGTACTAATTAAGCCATTTCATTAATTTCTCTCTGCTTGCTTTACGAAAAAAGTTTGAATATTTCTATGGAATTACCCAACCCATCACAGTAAGCTGTTAAAAGAAAGCCATCAGTGACTGTCTCCACATGATTATGCCATAACTACAACTATAATCTTGCAAATAAGAATGTAAGGAGTGGAAAGGAGGGATCTTTTCTTACTAATGCAGGAAGCAGGCATTTGTGAAACCTCAGCTGATTTCCTGCTGCAATTGCTATTTCTTTTCAGTAAACTCAATAACCCTGGTCTTGCCATTCAGCCATTTCAGAAAACAAAAGGAAAAGGTTACACCACAGAATCACATCGAGCTTACTCAAGGCATTTTGTTCCAGTTTACCTCTCTCTTGGGTTTACCTTTTATAGCAGCACCAGGCTGTGTGCCTGGTGCTGCTATAATCAGCTACCTCTCAATTCATGATTTAAAGGGAAAAAAGCGATAGATCAATAGGAAGATAAAACCAATATAGTTTCTTGCAACTGACCTGAACCTAATAGAAAGTTACAGATATTGTTTCTGCATGATATTGCCACCAAATTAAGCACTTATAAATCAGAAATTATTAGAAACCCAAACTTAGGATAAGCACGGCAAAAATCTAGTCACGCAGGCAAACTGACAAGTTGATTGTGTTACAATAGCAACACACATATAACAAGGCAGACTGATACCATTAAAGAGTTTGCTTCACGCTATCCAGGTTTACTCTTCACATATCATACAATACAATGCATTTCCATAACTCAGGTAGCTTGCTTGTCATTATATCTCCTGCTTCATTCTTTTCATTCATTCACTTTCAGCTCGGCAATCGACAGGACATATTTTTTTGCAACAATTCAGTCTTCCAGCTGGTCCAAATCCGGCAGAATTCATAATCTATATGGATGTGCGATGCGAGCCAAGAAATTAAAATCAGAGTCCACGGATAGATCAAGTTTACAATATCTATGGACCTTAGCAAAGGAGAAACACGGAGAGGCCATGATGGTTTAAATACTATTCTGACGTCCTCAGGGCTGCATGGTTGCAAGGCAGATTGTGCATTCCTTGAATTAACGCAAATACGGAAATGAAAGAATGAAGGGCATGAAAATGCTTTGCAAGATATTATGCAGTTTTTTTTTAGCTTTGCAGCTCCAAATGTTTGATTTTATGATAATCACGTGAATTGGGCCAAACCTTGCATATGTTAGGATTCACTTCGAGCTTTTTCAGATTAGTGTCATAATTTAGAAAAACAATTTATATGACAGAACCCACTCAATTTGCAAAAAACGTTCGGACTCAAATCGAAAAAAAGCTTAAAATATCCGAAAATGTACTACGGAATCCCTGCTTGAGCAGGTTTGAGGTTTCACCATGAGTGAGCATTATTCAGCAGCCTGTGTCGAGAACGGGAGCAAAATGGCCGATTCTGCTCGTGGCCGGGATTCCAAGTGAACGCCTCTGAGTGCACAACCATAGCTAGTGCAGTTGGCTTGAAGTTTTAAGGAGAGAATCAGCAGTTATCGTGTGAGACTTGCTGCTAGCTGCTATTGCTGCCAAGGCACCGCCGATCGCCAGAAACTTGGAAAAGTAAGTTGTTTCTAACGTTAGTGTCTAAAAAGCAATACCCAGAGCTGAGCCGAGCCTAACATCGCAGTGAATCCGGATGGTATTCGTTGGCTTACTTTTCTGGATCGGCTGGCTTTCGTTGACCTACTTTTTGGATCGACTGGCATTCGTAGGACGACATTTTTAGATTGATTTTACGGCCGCATTTGAACATTCCCTCTTCCGTCCGACAGCATACCAATTCTGAAAAAATGTATTGTTAGAATAGGGTGGCAAGATTTTTCTTATTGAACCAAAACAGAATATTTCTCTGGGACAGTTCCTGTTTTGGAGGCACTGTCTAGGTTTCTTCTTTCTAATGCGCTGCTACTGGCTTAGGCTTTTCCCCCCGCACTTTGAAGTCGGCACGATCTATTAGAAGAGAAAGGAAGGAGTTTTCCTGACGAAAACTCATGACCTTATGTCAGACTGAGAAAATACCCATGTCCACTTTTAGCCTGTAACCTTATACCCAGAATTTAGGTAATAATTCATGCCAGACTATCACTTTGTGTGGCACTGCTGTTTTATTGAGTGCTGACTGAAGCTCAAACCCTACTTTGTCAGTCCAATATAGTGAGTTAAATGGTTGACCTTGGTCTTGATTGGAAATCCATGAATTTAGGCGTGCAAATTTATTCAGAATTCATGGTTCCTGCATTAAAATGTTTATTAGTGCAGCCTTCCATCCAGGTCCTGGTGGATCAGGTTTGGAAACATTCACCACTACTACACTAGAAAAAAGGTTGTGGAGAAGCAGTAGCTGAGATGGACCCTTTAATCTTAACTAGATTGCCCCATTGAAACTTTTCTAAGAGATGTTATGTCTTACATACTGAAGCAAAGGAGATGTAGGGAACCTTACAACTAAGTAGACTTTGCTGTGATCGTGGCATGAAAATTGTTGAGCTGTGAATTGGAAAAGAAAGGATGAGATCTGCTCAAGAAGTGGAGGGGATTGTTTTTTAATTTTGTGTCGAGGTGTGGAGAGGGAAACCCTCACCTGGCACATTCAACCATAGAAGCATGGTTGAATGTACTTCGGCTATAAGAAATTGCTGAAAAACAACCCTGAAATTTTTTACATATTAAATTGACCTGTTAAGTTTCTAAATAATTTAGGCCTTATGCTTAAATGTTTAGAACTTTGACATTACAGCATTTTGATGTCATGGGGTACCATATCTACAGTATATTCTCTAAAGACAGGTATGGCTGATCATCTCAGCATACATAGAGCCAATCTAAACCTCATATATGTCAATTTATTCAGAGCTATTGTCTTCATGATGTCTGGAGGATCTTTATGAATGATTACCTTGTGACTTATCATAAACATACCCATTTCAAGTTCTATTTTGATTTGTATGCATTTTCTGTACTATTATGTCATTCTTAGCAAACCCAGCAGGTTGTCTTTACATCCTGAATTTTGAAGTCAGTTGTTAGTGGTTTACTTTGTCATGAGTTTAAAATATTAAAACTCATCTT